TTTATTCTATATAGATAATGACAAGCTTATAATCGGATTCTGTCAAGCTCAAGCATGCCGTGCTGCAAGAGTTTCAATCTGGAAGGAGGACTCATACTGAATTTCCATTGGCAAGTTTCTTTTATGCAAGGCTGAGTTATAAAAACGTAATATTTGATTTTACTCCTTTTTTTTTGATAATTTGAAAAAAAAAAAATCAAGTGGTCAAAAGATACATGAAGTGGTCTCCAAGGTTTTAGGTTTTCTTAACAAAAAACATTCAAAGTGATCCAATTGTTATTTAATAGGGATCCTAAATAATTTTATTTGTTAAAATCACTTCTTGATGACAAGATACATGGTTGACTTAGTGATTAATTGGTAAACTTGTTTTTAATCATTTGTTTTAATTGAGTTTTATTCTTGAGATTGATTTATGTTAATATATTGAGTTTTTCTCTTTACTCTTGAGGTTGGGACTAAATTCTAAAGATTTTACAATAAGTCCAATTTATGACAATAACATGTGGTTAAGTTGAACTTATGACAAATTGTTGTTTGATAACCTTTTTGTGTGTTTGAAGGATATATTTTAATATAATTGCTTTGAGTTAACCTTGTTCTTCAATCTTGCAGACAATATTTAGAAGGGCCATGAAAGGTAATTTAATTGTAAATTATCTTTTGCCTCTAGAGGAAATACCAAAACATTAGTTACCATGTAAAGATGTTTGAATAGAGGCAGCCCTTTCTTTCTTGTAATGCCAAATTTTGAACCGGTTTTAATATCCCAATTGAAGAGAGTACCAGATATCATGATTACTTTTTTATCTATAAAACTGTAAATATTTAAATATTTAAATGAATTGACTGCTAAAACCCTACATTGCTAATGTACATGGATGATAATCATTTTAGATGCCATTTTGTTTTTTCATTTTTTATAGTGAAATTTTTTCGTAATAAATTCATCCTTACAAAAATTAAATATTGTATGATAATGAAAAAATGAATAGAACATGGAGAATATGAAGGTAGATTGATTAGTGGAGGTCATTTTTCCTTTTGCCCTCATCCAATTTGTTTGTATTGAGACAATTTAAATAATGTTTTCAAAGACCAAAATGATCATCACTAGTCTTATTAAATTTAAATAATGATGAAAATAAGATTTAATTTAATAAAAAAATTAATTTTAAATGTATAACATTTTAATTTATCTAAATAATGTACTTTAAAATACAAATACAAATTCATTTTCCCAAATGTAACCTCAATGAATTAAGGGACAAATAATATTCATTAAAAATATTTACATAATTTCACAAGCATTTATGTACTTTTTTCTTACCAGTAGACCTGAAAAACACCATGCTAAATTTGAGCAAGATTAAGTTGGCTAAATTGGATAATATAAGATCATATGCAGTATCAAAGAAACAGGCAATTTAATTTCGATGTCTAATACACATGCAGATTTCCTGAGATTGCACCCTAAACCACTGAACATTACACATGCAGGCCACTAAAAAAAATTAATAAAGCTCGAACCATAGGACCATTAGATATAGTAAACCGCAAAAGCATGATCTCCTTAAATTAATAGCATAAGCTTTAGGTGCCATAAACAGTAATAACTAAAAATGTAGAAGTCATATGAAGCAACTGAAACAGATCAACAAAAATTTGGTCAACGTCTGGTGGCTTTCCATAATAACAGAACAATGAGTGTCTAAGCTGCTGCTCGTACAGGCTTCACTTCAGAGGAATGAACCTAGATGAGTGGGTGGCACCGATACCAGGTCTACCGTGCTTTACAGGCTTGTACGAGATAGAGAACTCGGCTAGATAATGCCCAATCATTTCAGGCTTGATTTCAACCTGATTGAATGTCTTGCCATTATACACTCCAATAATGCTTCCAATCATTTCAGGGACAATGATCATATTGCGGAGGTGGGTTCTGACTGGTTCTGGCTTCTCACCAGGTGGTGCCTCCCTTTTCTGATTAACAAACAAAAGTATTACTTCCAGTACCAATCAGTTTCCATAAGAAAATCAAGCACAACACAAGTTTCTCAGAAGTCAGATTATTTACAAAAACTCACAATGACGAGAATATTACATGTAATGAAACTGAACACATAGATAACATCATCTAAAGCTAACATGGTAAGAGGTCAAATGAATGACCAACTTCTCAATAAAAACTAGCTCAATGATGGAGAACCAGCAATTAGATAAAGTTATAACTTCTAATGAAGATATAGCTTAAACAGAACCAACTGGAACTCAGTTGCAAATTAAGAATCTGATAAGAACATAAATGGTTCAAAGCAACTTTATTCTCCCAACAAAAAACAAGAATATGACTCTGGTAATCAACTCTACAAATGGCAAAGATCATTTCATCATAGTCCTACAAATCAGAATTTGGATTCATACAATAATTAAATTAAGGGACCAATTATACCTTTTCTTTTAAAAAAAAAAAATGGAAAAAAAAAAACTCAAACAATTTTAGGACCATTTTTAAAATTCATATTAACAATTAGAACTAATAGGCACAAGGTGCTAATTAAAACTAAAGAGCAAAACTCAGATCAAAATGAGCTCTATCTAGCACTCAGCATTAAAGAAGGTAGCTTCCAAGCTGGTCGAAAAGGCAACATATAACATAAGCTCACAATTCAAAACTATCAATAACGTTAAACCTAAACCAACCTAGTACAGCAGTAACATGCTATAGTTCCCAAGATTTAAGATTAAATTCCATCACCAAAACAAAGAAGAAGAGCCAAGTTCAGGTGAATTTACCGCCTTGCGGAGCTTCTTGATCAAAGCCATGGGCTTCCTCTTGAGACCTCTCTGGAACCTACACAGGACAAACAAAACAAAGAAATCAGCCATCATGTATGTACCTACACGTTTATGCAGTAAGCACACACAGCATGTAGACATACCTCCTGCGAGCACGGGCATGGAAGAGCTTCACGAGCTCATCTGTGGACATGTCAAGGAGGGCATCCAAATCGACACCCCTGAAACTGAACTTCTTGAACGTCCTCTTCTTTGGCTGTCCGGCTGCTACCTCTGTCTCCACATCCGCCTAAATGCACCCACACACACAGAGTAAGGGAAACGAATCACGAAGAGAGATGAAGAAAGCGAGTGACTTACCATGGTTGAAGGTTCGCCGGAGAAGGTTCGAGCGGTAGCCGCTAGGGTTTCTGCGAAGAGGAGGAAGTGGGAGATTTTGCGGCGATTTGTATATATATAGCTGGCGCCGAATGCGTAACCCTAGAAAAGAAATTGGGCTGGACATCTGGATTCAAAGGAGCTGCCCAACGATCCAATATTACATGGGCTAGAGTCCGATATATATTTATTTTGGGCGGGTTTCTTTTGGGCCTCCTGCGGGTTCAATAAGATCCGTATATGATAGCATAATAAAATAACTGACAAAAATGTTTTACAGTTGAGATTATTTTAAATTATAAAACATTAATTCTTAGGATAGATAAGGGAAGAATTCTCTGATATTGAAGGCTTATCCTCGTCTAAAAATCCTTTGTTTTACAGGGCAAATTATAAAACAACGAACTCAAAAATAATAAAAAAATATTAAGATATTTTAATATTTAAAATATGAAGATATTTAATAATAATCATATA